AGGTTGTCATTGATGAAGGAAGCAGAGTTCCTAGAGAAATGTTTGCATCCCCAGCAGTAGTCATGATCAATGTGTGGTGATAAACTGACTCACAAGAAGAGAGGAACTTATCTGTCACCTAGTGAAAGTGGCCATGCTGTCTTCCTGCTGTGAAATCCTGACCACAGAATATAAAATTCTATTAACTGCCACCTTCCCTCTTTACCCCCAAACGCTAAAGGCTGCATAGTAGTGAGTACAAGAAAAGGTAGTACAGGTGTCCCGAACACTCACAGGCTGCTATTGGTAGCAAACCTGAGTCATCCACCTGCAGTTAACCAGCCAGGGATAGTATGGAGCAATTATATTGTTGTCACTAACTGCAAGCCCACAAAGTGCCATCATGCCAAGGACATGGCATAAGGACAGACTAATTTCCTTTTACTAATTTCCTGATCTAGGGTCAGGGACAAGAGAGGAGAAGTAGCCCTTTGGACTACTTCTAGGAGGAAGTACTTAGAGGAGGAAAGTAGTCCCCTGTGGACTTGACTGAACAGGTCCCTGCTTAGCTTCCCATTCATCCTTGTTTCCTCAAAAAGAGGAAAACTTCAGAAAGGGCATAGCCATTGCCTGGGGTGCTTATGAGTGCAGCACCCTCAAGAGATGGTTCCCAGATCTTTTGGAGGTTGGAGTGCCTGCAGAGTGGGACTTTGTGTATTTCCAGTTCAAGGCAAAAGCTCTGTGGTTTTGTTCTCTGTTCTTCCCCATGAGCATACTGGATATAATATGGTACAATTTGTAACTGATGGCATTTTATATCCTTTCAGTACAGTGTGAGCAGCTGCAAGAGACATGTTGAATATTATGGTGCAATTTATATTTAATTGGAAACATTTAGTTCTTTAACCAGTCATTATATCTTTAAAAGTGCATGTAGTAAGATGAAGTTCTTCAGAACTTGCTGTTCTATAAGTGAAGTAGGGGCACAAATCTCCTCCTAGGTATTAGAATTATAAGTTTGAAAGGCCCTAGCTTAGTTACAAACACCTGAGTGTAGTGTTTTCAAAAATATGTTTTCTTCTTTTTTAAAAAAATATAGCTTGTTAATTCTTAGCATTAACTATCCATGCATTATGGCTCTGATCCAGCAGAACACTCAAATATGTGTGTAAGTTTATATACTTATTACTTAAGTAATGCATTTAAAAATAATTCATGTACTTAAGTATTAGACTGAACCCCATTTTCATTCAAAAAGAGTTTTTGTACCCAAAGAGTAATTTCCATGCTGAGCTTTTTTCACCAATGATTCAGTGATCATTGTAACCAGAACAGCACAAAGTAGCACTTGAGTACTCCCCTGCGGCATTCACGTGTGTCTGCTTTTGTATCTGGCAATGGAGGAAAGTCTTCATTTTCAAAAAGAATTCAAATTTAAGATATTTTGTGGACATGCTCAAAGATACATTCTAGCTTTTCCTGTCATTCACTTATTTTCTCAATTTCTTGCTGAAAATGTATGTTATGTGGGGAGACAGATTAAATAAGGGCATCTTTCTGACCTTAAAGCCGATGAAACTGCTTCAAGCAATGCTTTAGGTAGTGCCCTTTCACAGAATTTGGACCTAAAGGTTCACATGATAAATTTTCAGTATCCCACACAAACAGAGCGGAGCGCTGCCTGCTCAGTGTAACTCAGGCAGAATGGCTGGGAGAGAAGTCAGCATCTCCTGTACTGTTCTTGCAGGTTTTCCCCCCAAATGCCTGAATTATTGCTGCCTTACTACACTTCCTGTGTGTGTAATACCACAACTCTTCATGGTGTTATATTGACATAAAACTGAT